TTTCAGGAACATCATCAGGAATACTGTAGAGTTAATATTTGCTATGCAGAGTGAAACACTTTGTTTACTGCAGTTCCCTGAGTTAGTTAGTATTTTCTTTGCAATCTCTTGGACTACAATTGCAGAAGCCTTACAAGGAAAGCATGTAACCAAAGCTTTCACCAAAGATTTTGAATGATACCTATTCAAATCAATGGCGCCGAATTTCTTTGTTTCCTATCATAGTACTGTGATTTTTGCTTACTTTATAGTCAAAAAGGCTGCTACTGTGGGAATCTGCACTGGTAAAATCTTATCTGGGAACTCTAGCAGCCCACTGTTGTTTCTCTATGGGACAGAAAGATCTTCTTTTAGAAGTTTCCTATTTACTGATGAAGAGGATATATTCCTTGCACTCAAACATAAAACATTACAATGCAAACTAGCAGCCACTTAAAGCAAGGGCTGGACTGTAACTCTCATGTGAACAGGCTATTTAGCAAACTTGCTTTTCCTTGCAGCCTACCAGTAAACTTCTGCTTTATCTTCAGCACTCCAGGTAGGCTTCTCCATCTGAAGAGAAAATAGTTTTCTTCATTTCACACAGATAGAAAAGATGCAATCCACTTGTACTACAAACTGTGCTGCTTTAAAATAATAAAGACATTAACTTATGAATGGAGGTGTAGTCTGTATCATTGAAAATGCTGCTCAAGAAATGAACTCCATTCATTTGAGAGAGACTTACAGTGAAATTTCTGCTTTTGTTTAATGGTATCATGTAATAGAGTGTGACATGACATGATTGTCTAACGCTTAGCTTCTTGATATTAGGTGCCAGCATGTGATTATGTATGTACTGTGGGTTATTAGCAACATTAGGTGTAATGTAAAAGTACTCACACAGACACAAAAAGCATGGGAGAGATGAGGGAGAACGTCAAGACAGCTAGTGCAGCTTGTCCTTAAATGAGAAAGAGAAGGGGGCCTGAGGGGAAAAATAAGATTTTGGTTTCACAAACAAACCAAAACCTCCTTGACTCACAAAATAAGGGTTTTTTGGGAAACAAACTGGAGATGGGTATTACAAATATAATCTTGGGCTCAATTTATTAGTGGTTCTAATGCAGACTGGCACCACTGTTAAAGTTCTATAGGATACAGGCTGTCTGTTGTTTCCAAGAGGTTTTAGTATCCACATCTCTGATTCTTTTGACTCAAGAGAAAGAAACATAAATCAGTATAAAGGTAGGTCAGAGCAACGCAGGTAAGTTATAAAAAAGATGATCATTATGAATTTCTGGATGGCTTGTGTATGCAAGGGGCACATAGTTGTTTTTTTTATTTTAAATGTTATCACTCACACTGTCATATAAACAAAGTATTTCTCTAATCCAAAAACTACATTAATTAGACTCATACTTACTAAAGAACTGCAAGTGTTCCCTTAGTGTAATCAGAGAAGCATTAAAAAGAAACCTTTTAAATAAAACGAAAAATTATATGGTCTGGGTAAGTAAGTCTTTCATTAAGTAAAGATGCAGTTCTTTGTATCTGACCTACCTTACTGATGCGAGCATCTCACTGGGAAACTCTCGTACTCTCAAGACATAGTCCTGTTTTAACTGTCTTATCTGTGAGGCATAACAAAGTACAATGCTAATTATCTTATACTTCTTTGTCTGAAAGGCAACTTCTAAGATATACTGCTAATAAAGCATGATGCAACTTTTAACAAAAAAATGTTTTATTGCTATACTAAGTGTCCTAATAAACATCAATATAGCGTTCCAATTTTCTCTCTGGTAGATCTCCCTCAGCTCAAAAAATAATGCAGACAATAGAGCTGCCTCAGGGAACCAACAACTTACTTGAAATGCATGAGCACAGGTAAATACCTAAAACTGAGGCCACAGAAGAAAGCCAGCTCATTTCATTAATGTACAAAGCCAGCACTAGGAACCGGTAGTGCCACATGCTAGAGTTAGCTAGGTGCCTACCAATTACCTTTTTTTCCTCTATATTTTTTCCATGTGAAATGGATACTTAAGTTTGTTGTACAATACACTTCGTGTAAAATCCTAACAGAAGCAGCTGAAGCCTGAGGTGTGACTGTTACTGTTCTCAGGCTGGGAGGCTTCCAGTCTTTGGTTTAAAAATTGGTGAAGAAGCTCAAAGGGATTTAGTAAGATGGAGTCAATACTTCAAGAACTGGGTTTGACAGTCGTACTAGGCTTTAAGGCCTAAAAGTTTTTCAGTAGCAGAAATTTAGGGTCCTGAGAATAGCAGAAGTTCCCACAATAGGCAGTAGGCTAAGCCGCTGTTCAACTATTAGACACTTTAAATACTGTAGCATGGAGGAATTTTAATTGTATGACCTTACCTATTGATCTGTAAAAAGACCCAGCTACTGCTGCCTGGTCCACATCATCTCTCCCAGGAGCAAGGGGAACCAACTCGTGACCAGTAAATCAGTATTTAATTCCCACTCTCTTCCTGCAGTAGATCAGTTAGTGTGCCATCAAGGATGGCACGTTACTTACTGTTAGAGTCAGACCAAGTACACCACCATCAACTACACGCAGCAAGCCAACACCGAGAGCATTGCACGATTCAATGAGATTCCACTTGGAAATGGGGCAGGACTGGGCTCTACAATTCATTAATTTGTGAAGCGTATTCAAGTGTGAGGTAGACATTTAAAATACTGTACCATACTGCATACTTGTTCTGGGTTTTGCAGTGTAAAAATAAAATTGAAAATTAGTTAGGATAAATATTTATTTTCACATAACATTTCTTAATTGTGAAAAACACAATAGTCTATTCACATGTACACATAAACTTTTGTAATAAATTACATCCAAGAAATTGAATAATTTTGACCAGGAATATGAAATTAGAAGTAAATATAGCACTACATTTGCTTTATATTGTGTGTGATTTCAGAATGTTAAGATTAACATTGGAATAGCATTTACATTCACACAGAACAGAGTGACTGTTTTAAAATAAAACCACTCTGAAATACTGAACAGAAATACAGAATGCCATTGAATACACTGATTTCTTATTATTCTAAGAGTTGGTCCAGTGAAACTAATACATTTTGATTGTATACATTATCTGTAACAAAGTCAGCAACATATTAAAACACCACCAGGCTGCTTTCGGGACAAACCAGTATTGAACTTCTATACTAATCTTAAAACAATTGGAATCTTACAATTTATCATCAAGTACACAAAACAAAGCATTTAACCTTAATGCATCAGCATTTTTTTCCTAAATTTACAAATACAAACATTGAATTAAATGTAAATCCTTCTTTGTGTCCGTTAGATTCCCCCCCCCCTCCATAAAAATGGCCTTTAATGGGCTTTGATAATGCTAGGTCAATTTAGAACAGTGACCCTATTAGTTTGCAGCAAAATGCAATTATCATTTATGGCTAAAGTAGTAAAACATACACACTCACATGCACAAGAACATTAGAAGGAATACTTTAAATGTGCTGGATATGAAAAGTTGTTCACATGAAGTCTATGGAAAGATTATCGTATTTTTGGAAAGCTGGGGAATGCTAGAGCCCTGTAGATGAGTTGTTATAAAGGTTACAAGACTGTAATTCTTATTTGTAGGATTCAAAGTAATAGCGTAATAATGACAGTTAGCTTTCATTTACTCATTTAAAAATTTATCTTAAAAAAATTTAAAAATCAGTGAATTCCTAATAACGCAATAAAACTTTTGTTCCACATCTCTTAATTCAATACCTAATCTCGCAGTCCTTGTTTTACACAAAAGAACAGCTTGAAGGATCAGGCAGTAACAAAATCCGTTATGAAAAATGTCTTTGTAATGGCTTTAAAGCCACATTTTACTTTGCAATGTTGTTTTTATCTTTTAATCAATATGTACTTGATGGAATAGTGAAAAGCTGTAACAAAACCAACAGCAGGATACCCATTTAAGTATTACACAGAATTAATCTCTGAAATTAAGAGGTTTACAGTTGTTAGTAGAGAGAGGACAATATGAATATGCCCTTTATGTGGCTATATTTTAGGCAATAAAGAGGAAAATCATTGGGCAGGTGATAAAACTGCATGTGGGGTATAATTTGTATCTACAAAATTTTCCCTATTATAAAATAATGGTTTGATTAATGACATAATGCAGTTGTTTGGCCTACCACGGCAACATTCATACAATACAAGATAAGATACTGTAATCACAGATTGCATTTTAAGAAATACTGTACCCATGTTTCACATCAAAGGATGTGGTGGTGTTTTTCAACTAAGGTGAGAGAATGTTTTAATATATATTTTTAATATATTTTTTAATATATATGACTATGTTCCAGTTACATACAAATTTGAATATTAAATACACTGTATTAAATCAAGGAAAACTTCACAAATACAGAATCTGACCCTGCAATCCTCATTGCAAGAGTAATCCATGACTTCAAAAGGACAGCTTGAAGAGGAAAGGATTATCCTTGTTAGTTTGTTCACAGGGTCAGATCAGTTGTTACTTTAAAAACTTCTTTAATGTTTGCTTGTCGGTTTGGGTCTCCTGAAATCATTTACTCAAGTTAGGTGATTTGGAAAAAAAAAAAAAAAAAAGTTGGAACAAGTGTTTCCAAGTTCATCTTGAATGAAGATTATTAAGTATCCTCACACAGAAAAAGTAGCAAAATACAGTACAAACCTATTAACAGGAAAGTTGAATTTGAAAGAAACTTACTTTGCTTGTTAGATTTATGATACGAATACTGATAAATGGCCAATATCAGCAAAGAACATGATGATTTTTTGCATTGGCTACTGCAGACTTTTACACAGATACTAGACAATGTAGACATGTAGACAAGGTGAAATGAAACAAATATTGCACTACATTACCTGTGCTAGTTTGAGATGAAAGACAAAAGTTACAAGGTCAAATCATTTATATTTAGTGGTTCTGGCACTCCTTTCATTCGTTTGTAAAAAAATTAATTGAAGAATAAGTCATAGACAAGTCTCCCGGTCAACACCTTTCCCTGAGTCAGCTTTCTTCTCTTTTCTGATTTCAGCACTAGGAAAAGAAGGAAAAAAAAGAGTTAAAGCAGCACTATCATATATATTAATGATCTACCCGAAAACCAACATTGCACTGATATTTTAATTAATTTTTCATGCTGCATAGCACAAACTGGGAAGCAAGTGAAAGTTTGTGTGCTGAATGGTGCAGAAGACATCAGCCAGCATTTTAGTAACGAGGTAGATATAGAGAACTTACTTAAGATGTACAGACAGACAAGTCAGCCAGCATGCAAGCAAAGATAGCCACTTTTTTTTCTCTCCCCCCCCCCTTTTTTTTTGGCAAATACAACTGTTAATTGATTAAATAATGGTAATGGTACAGTTCTCGGACAATACGCATATTTTATTAAATGGCACAAACAAGAGGTCAAAATAAGTATTTCTTGTCTTTAAAATGTATTCTGTTGCTCAATGTACACTTAGGAGGAATGTTTCCGAACTAGAGCAGTGCAAACCAATTTCCAACTGTAATATTTGGCTTTCAGTCTTGACTGGGGAGAGCATGAGAAGGCTGGCAGGGTGGGGAGTGGCAATATTCCCCATTTAGAGCTTAATACATACTTCCTCATGTATACATTATAAGGAAATACTTTAAAAAAAAAAAAAAGCCTGAAAGATCATACAAAAGCCTTATCACTAAGAACTCTAAAGCAGAGTTCAAATTTGGATTCAGCTTTTTTCCAGTTAAAACACTGTTGATTTGCCTACAGAGAGCAATGTATGTGCAAAGCAATGATTTTTTTTGTGAAGAGGGTCCTAATTTACAACAGCGTAAATAAATAAAAAGTCATGTTCTTGCAGTGAGTTTCAATCACACTACGAAAATGCAGAGTCTTCCACAACACAGGCAAATCAAGCCTTCAACAATGAGCGGCAGGGTATCTAAAAAAAAGATGGTTCTGAGAACAAACCAAGCACATAACCTACCAGGTTTCATGGGAATAATTCCTTAACTAGAATGAATGAGAAATAGGCTGAGTTACACAAGGCTTAAAGAAAGCAAGATCAATTCTCAAATTCTTAAGGTGATTCATGCACAATTTTACAATCATCTGACATTTTTCTTCACATAAAAATTGCTTTAAGGATACAATTCAGTTCAGCCAAAGCTTACTTCTATGCCTATGGCAGCTTCCAGAGGTGTTAATGGAAATAGCTAAAGAATACCAACTTCTGCCACTTCAACTGCCAAATCTGTCACCTTCTGTAGAACAGTGATAGAATTGGGTGTGTTACACTTTCTGCACGCAAAGGGTATGCAAACAAATTCCTGGGGGGTGAATTTAAAGTGCAGCAGTACTGCAGGCAGAGTTACCTGTGCTTAGTAAAAGCAAACACTGAGGATGTGTTGTGTGCCTTACAGTCTATAATATTTCCACGTTTTAGGTGCCTCTGTGATAGCAGGAAAGTCCTCCTTCTATTTAGGATTCACATCTCTGAGCATCTCCTGCAGATGTGGGCTTTAATGCCTTGAGAAATTTGGGAAAAAAAAAAAGGACAAGTCCAGTCTTTTACCAGTAAAACACATAACTGGTGGATCTGTAAGGGACTTGGAGCTCTCTTCCTCCCTACCAAGGGAGTAGTCTAACAAGCCTGAGAAGGTAGGTTTGGGATGCAGGATTTGCATATCTTCAGGTAGAGAAGGGAACTCATACCATCTACAAAGTGATGGATGCCTCTTTCTCCAATACTTTAAAAGGCCAACTAGGACTGACCACCTTCTATACATGGTCAGGTCCTCTGCATATGTTTTGAAATTGCGATCTGAAGGGCTTCATATTATAAGCAAAGACAAAGGAATATTTAATTACATGTACCAAAGAGGGCTATGTTTCATATAGGTGCCTTGGTGTTCAGTTCTACCAACACAGGCTCAAAAGCAGACCTTTAGGTCCCTAGAAATTTTAATAATGAAAAATTAAGGTTGGAAAATTGTAAAGTTCAGGTGCCTCTATGGTTAGGCAACAGTTGACTAAGTAAATCTCATTTAAGTCCTCTCTTTAGACACTTAAATACTGTTATGAATCTGGGATGTTAAGAACTGTCACACACTATACTACTTCACAGAGCCAGGGGAAGGGCAGAGCTTATGACAGACATTATCCATGCATCAGGCTGAAAAGTCGTTTGTATAAACCCTTCCTGCCTAAAATCTCTCTTTGGAGATAATCTTAGTTTATTATTGGCCAGTCTTTCACTGGCCAAGTCAACTCAGTGTTTAATTAGTATGAAGAACTTCCAGATTTTATGTATTCCAGAAATCACCCTATATTGTTAATTGATCAGTGCCTTACATAAAAGGCATTACATGAAATCATAGTACAGTATCATAATTTAATTATCCCCATTTAATAATATTTTGGGTATTAGCATAAGAAAGTAGACCTGACAACAGGAAAAGGAGTACTAAACACTTCAGTAGTTGAACTTCAAAAGGCATCAGTAAAATTAATTTCAAAACAACATGATTTTTTTCCCCCTACACTAAGATACCCTTCACTGAAGGGAACTGTGTAATGTAATATTGGTAATCTTGATCATTTGCAAAAATTATCCCTGTGACTGCTACCATTCCAAGCTTTCTTTTTTCTCAGTACTTACCTAGGAATGAACTATATCTTCATGTAATGATACATGCATTTAGGAATATAATATTTCTTTAGCTCTGTCTCTAATATGATTTAAGATTAATGTTGTCTATGGTTTTGCTTATCAGAATGCAAGCCTTCCAGGTTTAAAGTTCTTTGAATCTACTTCTGTCTGGGAATCCGAGACAAGCTGGAGCATATTTCTAAGAGGTTGTTCCTTTACAACAGGACACTCATACCTAAAACCATAAAACCTGTGATCCCTTAGTTCCTTTTCACCTGAGTCTTTGTTTTCATGAGCAAAGGTAAAAGAACAGATTGAAAATGAGCTCATTGGAAAATGAGTTTCTGTTTTACTGCAGTGGAAAGGCCAAATCATCTTTTACCAAAGTCATCTGAGCCACCATCTACGTGGATGCTCTTTGCTCAAAGGATCTTTGAAAATTTCAGGTAAAAACAGTACACGGTTACATAATCTATCATACCACCAAAGAAAGCAACATCCACCAGAAAAATTACAACTACTGCATACCCAGTGGCTGTGAATGTACCACATTAGTTTCTTCTCTTCAGGCTTTCACAGCCTGGACAGCAGAGACACATAAGGTAAGAAAACCCTACTGTACATCCTTCTCTCATGCACCGCACTGATTTCACTGTGACGGGATCCTTTTTCAACCCATGTGTAGGGTGGAAGGCAAATCAGAACTACCCTGCTATTTTGACTGTCAGTGAACTAGCATTAAAATTATCACATTAGTGGGCTGCTCCATGGGTGTCTGAAAGGAAGATTCTCTGGTCATCAACTGTTCATCTTGTTTATGCTGTTTAGGGAAAGGAACAATACTGAAAGGCAGCATGCAATTTTGGGGTGACAAAATTTAAAAACTGTATTTCACTACAAAATTTTTTCTCTTACTGCATCTTTTCACCATAAAACAATGACCAGCTGTTTCAAACATGGAGCTTGTTTTGAAAACTAGATTTAGAAATGGGCAGAATATAATTTTATGTTTTAAAAAAGTCAAAGAATTAATGAAAAAATCTAGAAATAAATTCAATTTAACATTTAAATATACTACATCCACAGTTTCTAATTTTAATAATAAATTTCAAGTTTTAATACTAAGGACTTTGATGAAGACATTTTACATTCCTATTTGAAATTTCTTTTCATTCTGTCTCCCCAAAAATTACACAAAGTCAAGTCATTTGGGTTCCCAGGTGACATCACTTTGAATTGGAAGATACAATCAAGGAAAAGGTTGGGGGACAGGGTCTTACCTTTGGGGAATCAGCTTCTAGAGTGATTAGGAAGGGGAGCTTATGACAAAAACGTGATATAAAACAATTAAGTAGAAAATAGTTAAATTTAAAATTTGTGGAAACAGGAAAATCTCTCTTACAATCACACTGTGCTTGTATTCAATATTTTCTTATTCCCATAGTAACTCTGTAGCACAGATAAAACACCGTTGCTTCATTTTACATTTGTCTGGACTAAAATTTAAAAGTATTTAACTGTTTTGAGTACAAGTGAAGTAGGCAGAAAAATGAAAAGAAGTGATGCAATCTTAAAATTATTTTCACTCCAAATATTAGTAGATCACATTCAGAGTACTGGGCTTTTCATATAGATATTTCCAGGGCAGTGATGACCACTTCTTTTTCAAGAGGAAAGAACAAAAGCAAGCAGAACAAACACAACAGCTGTTGTGCAATATCCAGGTGTAGGCTGGTGGTTCATTACACAAGCATCAGGCATGCTCAACTTCATTTTCCATTGTAGCATAACTAACTAAGTAGCATGCAAATATTTGTGGCGTTTTTTTTTTTTTTAATAAAGGTACATAGTGAATTTGTGCTTTGAGCTCAGCATATTATGACTGGACATAAATAAAAGGAAACCTCAAGAAATAACACTGCAAGGTGCTAGAAATCTTTCTAATACCTGGCAAAATATTCTAATATTGGTTTGACACCAATATATAAAGTATAATGTAGTAAAAAAAATTAAAACCTTTTAGAAGGAAAGCTTGACTCCTTATCTTTTGCATTCTCCGAGGATATCAACAATGTCTTCCACACAGCAGTTTTTGCCATTTCATCAGAAATGTTTATCACAGATGGGTCATCTCTAGGCAAGAATAAAAGTAAATACACAATAAAACAATGAGCAATCAGTCTTTGTTACTTATTAACTCTACAGAAGTCCTTGAAAACTGATAGTGATGACAATAAATAAGTTCAATGTAAGTTAAAAATTATGTTAAACTTCAAAAATCCTGAACGATGACTTAAGTATTCTCTTAAAACATCTTAGCACTTTTTTAGCATTTTCGTCCTCCAACAGCAATTAATCACAGTAATATCAATAAAATATAGTTTCACTTCCAACTAATAGAGAAAAATGAGGAACTGTGAAATTAAATATTGCCCAAGATTGCACAGCATGCCTAAGAATCCTAAGAGTTCTCAAAGTACTTATGCTCTGAAACTCCACCTGCTTTTAAAACAATTTTAAAAGCAATCAAAAACCTTGACAAAGGCAAAGATTTAAGAGATCTAATAAAAATGCCCCAATTAAACAAGCTAATCAGTAGCTTTAAGCAGCACTTTGTAGCCTTTATGCCCTTAGCTTTACCTGGACTGCTCCAAATATTTATACACTTAAGAATAATAAAGTCTTAAATGTTTTACGGGCCTGCCTGTATATTATTCCTGACCTCATGGTTTACGTATGGCTTGACATTCAGTAAGCCCTCAGTAAACTTGTTTTCACAGTGTTTGGGGAACCACTTTATCAACCAATGTCTTGACTCTTCTTTTTAGCTGTAGGACTCTAACCCTTACAGTACAGAAAGTCAGATGTTATCCAGGCAACGCTACCTAAGTAAACACACTATAGATCAATATAGATCACACCTCAAGATAAATTAAGCTCAGCATTGCTAATATAAAATAGAACAAAAAAGTATGGACAAGAGAAGAAAAAAAAACAGACCATTGAAAGTGTGATGAATCAAAAGTAAGAAATAGGCTGGGACTTTTCAGAGACACAGACAGTTATTTGCCTTAGGAGACATTAGGGTAACTTTGTGTTAAAATATAAGAGAAGGCTATTCTGAGATAGTGTTCCTATGAACTCAACATTAATGCACAAGTTACTATCAGCAGATATTTCAAATCTTTATTAAGAACTTTCTGAAAACTCTAAATGAGAGTCCCTATGGGCTGGCTACACGTATTATCGCTAACAGATTTTAATGCTTAAGTTGTGTCAACCCTGCATTATGCCTTATCTACCCTGCACAGCTCTTGATTCACTTATTATCTCACATAGATAGGATCTTAATTAGAATGTTTTAAGATGTAATACTGTAAGAACCTAGTTTTTCTGGGGGGTGTTCAAAACCTTTCCTGGCTCCCTGCTAGCATCAGGATGAGGGGTTTGACCTGTTTTACATCTTCCTTTTGTACTGTGCATGTCAGAAGCCAAGGTTCATTATAAATGGCCTGATCCTGCAGTCCTGCCCAAGGGAAAACTTCAACTAGCGTGTCCTTTTCCTAGGGACTGTGAGATCATGTGGAAAGACTAGAAAAGGGCTGAGCTTGTTAAATGCTGCAGTATATGGTTCAGTTCACCTATCTGTACTTTATCACCAGACAAACATCCTCCTGACATTCAGTAAGCATTAAGAATAAATATTGTGGCATGTTTATTTTATTTGTTTAATTGCAACTCACCTAAAAGAGGAAAGGTATATTTTACCTGTAATGTCCTTCTAGTGGTAACTGAACAGTCCCTTCCTCTTCCATTGCTAACATACTTTGCTCTTCCTAGAAGGAAGGAATTTAGATGTGAGACAGGATATGATGTTGTGAAAAGTGAAATTTATACACTTTAATCCTTCTTCCCCTTTTCTTTAAGTATATAGCTGAAGTTCTTAAAGTAAGATACTTTTCAACTCTTTTCATTTAAATATTTGACATTTAAAACCCTCTTTTTTAAAAGATGTATTTTCACTTAATGTTATTTTACAATGCCAAATAGAGGAGACACTTTTGTAACAATAAAGAAAGAGAAAAATCAGTAACACTGAGTGAGCAACTGTATGGTGAATTTTAAGTATCATGCATAACAGGATATATACATTGCAATGTTAACGTGCAAAAATTAGGGAAGCCAAATTTAAGTTTGCACACACAGTTTTAATACTGATAAAGTTTTATTGCAGTGAAAGGTAGTGAAACAAGACACCAAAATTAGTTTTCACTTGAACAGGGAAAAAACTTCTGTGAGTAACAGGAAGTGAAGAGAACTAGGAGACATATCTACAAAAAATCTTTGTCAAATATTTAAAAATTTAGAAAATCTATCTTAGGGTGAGGGGTGAACAAAGCAACACCCCTCAAGCACCATGTCCTGCCTGCAAGAACAAAGGAAAACAAGTCTCTGTCTTTCAGACAGCTCAAGGCTCCACAGGAGGATTCTCAAGGCTCACACCCCTGTTAGGTCAGGAAAACCAGAGCCAGGGGGTTAACGTGCCTTCACATGAATGTAACCATCAAATCCTGCCCTAAACTGTTGCACTGTGTGTGTATGAGCATAAGACACCCAGAGACCTCCACGTCTTTCTTCCCTTTATTAGATGGCTTTGTAACAGTTTACCCTGGTGCCTGTTCGAAAGTGTGAGCTGGCTCTCCCAAAAAGAGCATACCATTTTCTGGCAGATCACCCAAAACCCCACATGCATCACACACATTGATAAGCTGGTATTAGCTGGAAGAGCGAGTACAATTTTCCAGAATAGCAGAATTTAAGTTCTCTCTGCACAGAAATTTGTTTCTTTTATGTTTTACTATTACAACTATTTTAAAAGTCACTTTTTTTTCTCCAAATGGGAGAAGTCACTTTGTTCATTCCTGTCTCAGAAAGACTTTTGATTAACATCAAAGTGGCTTCCAAAGGAGGTCTGTGAGAAGAAGGCATACATAATATCCACTATAAATGTACAAAGCCTTGGGAAAACATGGCCTAAAAATATAAAAACAACTTAAGTGATGAAATTAGGATCCAATCAAGTAAGTTTCAGATCTTGTCAACTATATTTCTGAATATTGTTGTGGGTAGAATACTTCTATTTTTAAAAGCCGTGTGATAGCAACTCTCCAATTAATTCCTTAGGCTACATGTCAGAAGTTTTATTACTAGTTTATTTTGTCATTTCCAGGCTTCACAGCTTCATAAGTTTTTGACAGTTGAACAGTTTTAATAATAGCTCCCAATATTTAGAAATGCCAAAATATGTAAAAATAACCTCTCAGAATAGACAGTGAATGAAATAAAGTAACACCAGTAGATTTTCCCAGTTTTGTTTTCTGAGGCCACCCTATCAAGCATGGGAAGGAAAGTGACATATAACCAAAACATAAGGATAACAAGGAATTCTTTCCAATAACCAGACCCACAAGAAGAGAGCTACCTTGGTTACTTTTGGTTACTCTGAATTGTGATGCCAACAGATACTGTGATGAAACAACTCTCTGGTCTGCTTCGATTCAAGGGGGAAAACAATGACTCACATATTTTAATTTCAGCCTGGTAGTTTTACAGGCACATACTAAATAGTAAATAATCATCATGATGTTTATCACCTAGGTAAAACCTTTTCACCAAAACATATTCTATGAAAGTATGTTGAATGTGTCAAAGAAAGGAAAGTTACAGTTCTCCAGGTTACAGATGAGGCAGTGAGTTGTCAAAGGTCACGGAAGAATCCTAAGGGCAGAGAAATCTAGTTTTCATAGTTATATGTTCAAATTATTAGCTCATGTCCTATTTCTGCAAATAGACTTACCAATGGGAATCCTTACACACACCATTTCACTGGTCTCAGAACACATCTCAGGGCATCCCTAAGGATAAATTGCTGATTTATCCATTCACATTGTCTCGTTTTTGCAGTACCCTTGTACCACCAAAAGGTTATGCCTCACGGGTCCTGGGCTTTTGCAGAGGTCTTCAGGGCATCTTAGAGGTGATATGCACAACTGCCCCCAGAGCACTCCTGCTTAGAAGTGACCACAGCCTGCCAAGACCATGTGGCATCGTCTGCACCTTCACCTCCCACTGTCACCACAGCCTCACACCATGCTACTATTCAGAAGTGCTGGCGCAGGACACAGACTCCCATTTAAAATAACCTGGCACCAACATATTCTACTTACTGCTCCTGCTGTTAGTGTTTCTCCATCGAGACTTGTCCCTCATTTATTTGGGCCCAGTACTGATGTTCCCTAACACTTGACATTGATCAGGTGGCTGATACCAGGGACAAAGGACAAAGACCTCCGTCCCTTACACATAAAGTTACTTTATATTCCCACAGTTTTATATGATATCCAAACAAGCAATTCATGAAGCAGCAGCTAAATGAAAATGCTATCAAACAGATGCAAAACTGGTTAGAAACCTACAGTCAGAAAGATATGTGTTTCACTGTCAAAATACAGGAAAATTCTGAGTGGAAATGTGTAAGAATCTGCCCTGTATCAAGTTTATAAGAATTATCTGAAACGCATATTCTTTGAAAGGAGACGAGGAGTCCAGATCTGAAACAGTCAACTGGGTGGTAGTGCCACAGGCTGTAAGTGAAAGTCTGAGGATTTGGTTAGCAGGGATAAGCAGTGTAACTGACCTTTTCATTAGAAAGTGGAAGTAAATTGTTTCTACAGTAGCAGAAAGAAAATGCTGGCCCAGAGTGTAATAGGGATACTGCACAGGGTTATGACATTGCTGAGCGGGGAGGGCACAGGGTGATGGCATGTGACCTATGTATGGCTCAGATGTGGCTGGGACAGGACATGCCATGCCCCTTAAATTCTGCAGTGCTCTCCTCAGCATCTCCAGCAGGGACGAGACCAGTCCCAACGCAGCATCAAATTACCCCAGGGATCTGAGGGCTTTCCTACAGACACCGGTTCATCCCTGCACATCATCTGAGTGGGTCTCAGGAGCAATCCCAGGAGCGCTGTAGATACTATGTTATATGACAGTATGGCAGTGTAAGAATCTACGTCTAATAGAAATCCGCACCTAAGCCTATTAGATTTGTAACCTTAAAAGGACTTATGTAAAATATGAAAATATTAGTTTGTACGCTGTTAACAAGTTCTGCCTGTTGCATGGAATATGCCTTATTTACAGAATTTTCTCTAAATGCCTGAAGGAGAAATTGATAAAGTGCTACAAACCAAAAAAACCTGAAACCATGACCCACCTCTTTCTCAGCATCTTCCAGTTTCTTTTTCTTGCTCTCGGGCATCAAATCATCTAACCAACTGAGCTCCCGCTTAGTAAAAAAGAAATCCATGAGTTTTCGGACAAATACCAAAGCTAGGACCTGTAAAGATATTAATTCAAAGAATTAGGAAATTAAGCAAGTAAAAGAGACAAATATGCCTGTAGAGGAATACTTTCAAAAACGACCACAGTTTACAGCTAGAATTTTATCCTTTAATTTGGATAGGCTAACAGCTGGTCCTTTGTTCAGATGAGGTATGGCTTGAAGCATTTAACGATCACTGAGGTCAGTAGGTATCTTTTATTTTCAATTAGTGAAATAATCACAGAGAAATCACTTAAGCAGCAGAATAGATTTTTCTTTTATTTCCAGCAAGACACAGAACTATCAGTTCCTCAGTGCAATGAACAATCTTCCTTAATGAGTGAATGTTCTTTCTGTAAAATGATTAAGCACTACTCCTTAAATAAAAACATCAAATAAATTTTAATTTTTTTTTTTTTTTAAGGAGAAGAATTTTCCCTAAGAGAATACACAGTTGGGCTATCCACACATATAAACAGAGTGCAACCTAGACTAAAAGTAGACGTTATATGTAGAATTTTTCCTTACTTAATACAGTATGACTTGTCCTTGAATATTGAATCAAAGCAATATTGTAATTTATTGCCCACAATTAATTTTTTCTTCAATAACAATTATCCACAAGTGAAAAGAAAAGGGATTTTTAGAGGAAATAAAAAATATTTCGTACCATCATGGGAAAGACAATGGCAGCTCTTGAAACCTTTATAATCCACAGAAGCACAAGACAACTCAGCTGAATTACAGTGAAGAGATGGACCTTTCTAAGAGGAACATGCCTCAGATAAATAAAGTCTGGCTGATGCTTTGCAGGCATCCAGAATAACTTTATCCTGTCAAAAAGCTGAAAGAGAAATTTTTAAAAGTTTGCATCAAAATGAGCTGTAGGATCATCTATGCTGACATTCACACACTGCCTAAGAGACCCTGAATATCCTAAGAATCTGGCTTGTTATTCTAAAGGCAAAAACTGTGCAGAAATTCAGAAGCACAGAAAAAGACTACCTCAGTTACAATCATGAGCCATGAATCTATACTAATCCAACGGTGGTAAAGGACTCATCTTCTCTCCAGTTGAGCCACCAGAGAAAGAATGAGAATCATATTATTTAAGTAAAGTTTAATTATTTGGTTAGTCACGCTTCTTAAGTTCCTTTCAATTTTAATCCACATGTGACTGCCTAGGTATTTCTATTGCAGATGTGCTGAGATATTGGATTCCGCTGAATTACATTCTGTATAGTCATACTCCAGGAAACATCCTGCTCATAACTGCATAATATGTTATACACAAAGAAAATAGTTACTTTAAAAAAATACTGCTAAGATTTCAAGTCAAGAACTCTTAAAGTTAGGCAAAGCCAGACTTCAAAATAGTTGTGAATCAATTGTGAATCAAACTGAATGGAAGCTGGTTGATCCTATTGCGCATATGCAGTTACACCGCCTTTCTAATACATTCTGAACTTCTGTTTTTCAACAACTGAGCTCTGCCTCCTTTAGCACACAAAAAGCTGATCATGGAGGGATCTCTTCAGTCTTTTGTCTCCTGTGGATGAAACTCCTTTTCCTCCCGCCCCCCCTACCAAGTTTACTTCACCAGACACTTTATCCCAGGCTATTTTCTTTTCCCTATTGCACTTTCTTCACAGGAACATAAAAAAAAAAAAAAAGAGCCAGCCAAAAAGGCAACTGCCATGCCATTAGGAACATACATGAGAGGTTCTTGTTTTTCAGACCTATTTGGCTCCATACTGACCCGAGATTTTGTGTCAGCTGCTATGGCACAGTGATGATGGTGATGCACCATTTCTCCCTGCATGGGTGAGCCATGCTATATCCACAGTCTTCAGGAATTTCAAGAATTTTTACTGAGCATGTGCAAACTGCATTTTTTAAAGGCTTATAATTTGGCCAGATTTGAGCAGGTTTCTTCTTCACAGAAACAGCAAAAAGCACATCCTCCCACAAAAGCCATCTTACCAAGTCTCAATTCCTTGTCCCAGCTTGGGGGAGGGAGAAAGGGAGGGGGATGCTACCACTTTTCCAAGTAAAGATAGCCAGATTTTAACATGCCTTAAAAACACTCCTCAATAGTGTACTTTCTGATACCCTTGTTCTGAGAAACAGCTGAATCGTATTAAGTTGAAATTATCTAAACCTCAGTAAAAGCCAAACTACATTTCTTAGAATATCAACCCAAACGGTAAAAGCTAGGCAAAGTTATAAAAGAACAGTCTCTGAATAGAAAACACCAGTCAAAAAACAAGAGATGTTGCCAGCTTTGCCTATAAATAAGAGAGGTAAAAAAAAGCAAGACATTTTTAACTTGCAATCAAAAATTTAAATATAATGAAAGAAACAATCAGGCATTTTCTTTGCTATTTGTATTTGACAACCTTTTGCACAGTATAATTCATGTTTTCGTCACATGATTGTTCTTTCTCAATTGTCTTGGAAGGTGTATCAATACCTCAACTTTCGATAACAAACAAAGGCACACTTGAAAATTTGAGTGTTTGTGTCAGATGGGCTGAAAGATTTGACACCATGCCATTTAATGCTGCCATCATCCAGGAGAAATAGGATACCATTACCAACCCTGACCTGAATGCTGGAGTGCCTAGCTTCCACCAGGGGCTCCTACTTAAGGCC